AACAAAGCGAAAATTGATGTCTTAAAATTCTTTATTTTCTTTTTACCATAAATAACCAATACGATGCACCAAATCGATCTCGACCAAATGGTTTTGAACGTATTTCATGTGATGGATTATTAGCAACAAAAGTTTTCAATGTCTGATCACAATCAAATTGTTTTTCTAATAAATTCTATAATAAAAAAAAAAAAATTTTTTTTTGTGATAAATTTTGTTTGAAAACAAAGAAAAAAGAATTTATGTTTACTTTTAAAACTCGAAGTTTAATTTCAACATTTGATTTTGAATATCCATGTTCATTTAAGTAATCTCCATCATCATGATTAAAACGATCAGCAAACTAAATATAGAAAAATCATCTCAACAACACAAAAATATCATTTAAATCTTTACCTTTGCTATACTTGGAACAAATTGGTCTCTTTTTAGCAATTTACCTGATGTAACTTTTCTAAGTAGAGCAAGATGAAAATCAATAAAACGTCCACTAACTAAACAAAAGAAGCAAAGAACAAGGTTTTTTTTTGAAAGAAAAAAAAATATCATTTCATTCGTACGCTTTTCTTTTTCACATATTAGATTATCTTCAAGTATGCGTAATGGATAATTTTTCATTTTTATATATGAACGAAATTTTTCAATAAAACCAAGAATAATACCATAATCAGGATTATTTAATAAATTTAAACGTCGTTGATCACGTTTTAAACAAGGTTTTTCTTTTTCGTCTTCATCTACGGATGATTCGTCATCAAAAGAATCGACACTATTTAATATCATTTCGACATCAGATTCAGTTAAAACTGGTAATGAAATAACTAATTCTTTTATTATTATTTCAGGATCTATATATATCGAATTATCATTTTCTACATCCATGACTTTACCGTTTCGTTTTTTTGCCTTGCTAAACTTTACTATATGATCAATCAATCACTCAGATGATCAATTGTTCATTGGTTTGAACTTTAAGTCTTTGTTTCATTAACGTGACAATATGTGGCACCATCTAGACGAAAAATATTTTTAAATCAATATTTGTTTTTTTAATTTTATTAATCGTGACAGATTTTCAAAGCTTTTTTTTTTCATGACCTTGAGAAAGAAATTACATAAGAAGAAAATTTTGGTTTTAATAAGATGTTCGCAATTTTTAATAAATAATAATTATATATATCGAAAAGTATATTGAACACTCAGTAATGCACTTACTTTCAAGGTATACTTCAATGTATCCTATACACGAATGAATAAATAAAAATATTTCAAATTGATCTTGAAAATATATGCATATATTACACTGTATATATTGATAAAATGAAATGATTTTTCAGAGTAGAATGATCTATAGCATTGAATCAAATATTTCTTGTTTTGTGATAAATATATATCTAATGATTATTTTTATCAATCGACTGAAGTAATAATAAGCTGCCATACGAAGTAAATCGGCGAAGTCTTAATAAAGGGTGGACCAAATGTTTCGAGCTATCTCTGTACATTGAGGTTATTTATACAAACACATATATACATAGTTGGCTGATATGCATAGTTTTGTAGAAAAAGATTAGAGCTTGTCGGATCCAAAATTTTCGGACTTGAGCCCGATTTATTGAATGTTGTTGAACCCATACCTCGTCGAATCGTACTTTGATATTTGTGATGAAATTTCCTAATCGGAATAAGGTAACCGAACCAAAGATACGAGATGCTTGTTTTCCATTTTTCTTCGTTAACGAGTACAGGTTACTCATTTTTCAGACGACTCGTCTGAGAAATGTGTAAGGTAGAGCTGTTTAAGTCCAAATTTTTCGGATCCAAGCTCGAAACCAACCTGATAGTCTCTAATTGGAATCATGAAAATTTACGGTTCCTTTTGTTAAACATGACTAAACATTTTACATTTTATGTTTTTCGACAGAAACAAAAAAATATTCTTGTAATTCCTGAGTGAGCCACATGAACAGTATATCAGTTAAAGATATTAGAAGTTTAGTTTACTTTCTCTATTGCTGGATACATGAAATTTTTATTAGTCTCTTCAGTTTTCTCCAAATTTCGTATTGGAAACAGAATCAGAAGTTTTCTTTTTACAATGTTCATATTCTTGTAGAGCTTATCGAACCATATAAAAATCTAGAAAACAATATTTTGCTTCAGAAGTTACAAGTATATTTTATTTTTTGCAAAAAAATGTAACATGTTTAATTATGATCAATACAGTAACTATAACTTTTCAATCAATTATCTATACGTATGTTCATAATAGATAACATTAATTTATAGGTAATGGCCGATATTTTTGGATCACAATTTCAATATTGATTACAAAATCTAGATTGAAATTATCTTTCATGAAATCTGTTGAGCCCACATAATGAGCATAGATTACCGTTATACTTAAATTGCAATGGAATTTTAGAAGATCAAATACTATAAGTCTGTCATACGTTTTCATCAGTGTGATTTACTTGTCATGTTACATGTGTTTTTTTTACATACTAATAATAGAATTGAAGCGAAAAACTATTTTTACAATAAAGCAAGAAAATCATGTTTAACGAAATCATATGACTATAAGAAGCGAGTATTACGGTAGAATAAAATTTTTTTTACAATTCATATGAAATAATAATACTTAAAATAAAAACTAATTACAACGTATGGACAATAATTTAGAAGAGTAGATAAACAAACTTGATAAAACAATGAATAATGAGCAATGTATTCTCAACCTATAATTAGCCATAACTGTGTTCAATCAAAATGATTAAAAAAAATTATTTGTCATCTTCCGCTGGAAAAGAGATTCGATCGTACATGTCTTGCTAACAGAAATCGAAGTTTTATATTACAAATTTAGATTAGAAACATAACAGACAAGCAAGTTCAACGATCCGTTTGAAACTCTAATGGATATATAAAAATTCTATTCTATGCAAACTATGATATTGATTGTCGTCTACAGTAACGAAAGATAAGTCATATCTGAACATCACAATTTATACGAGCTACCATTAATCAAATACGTGTACAATACAAACAAACACGGCTTAACTATTTTGAAATAGTCTGTCAACGAAACAAAATGAATTATCTTTATTTTATCATACATCAGATGTCTACAATGTAACATATACATATCTGAATAAAATTCGTAGATGAATTAATATTTTCATACGATTCTGATCATATTCTCTATCGAAAGAATGGAAATGTAAGAAAGCAAATTTTACTCTGTTTTAATTTTCAAGGGTCAACCACATATGAAACGAACAATTATGAATTCCTGGTCGTTGTGATGATTAACATCAGTCACTAATGCGAATAGCCATTTTCTTAGAAAACACATAGAAACCCAGAGCATTTCAAAGTTATTTTCACATGCGTTTCTTTAGACTGCATATCTCTGTTAAAACCATGCTTTTAAAATGCTATTTCATGTTTGTTAAGATCCTTCTTTTCTGAGAATGTAACTTTATATTTCAAATGTATAGTATATGAATTATCATAATATGCTTAATTTTCTATTCAGAAGAATCTTAAAAGATGGATCACTCAATAAAATACTTAAACAAATATCATGTTTCGAATTAGCACAAAACTTTAAGTCAACGTATTTATATTCTAATTTTTCTCCACAACCTTGTCTTTCGATGAAATCTTCGCTCCTAGTCCATCTCAGGGTTATGTAAAAAAGAATATAATTAAAATACCTATTGTATTGTCTAATTCAACTCTTTTTTTGATATATCTTCAAAGGAGACCAACAAATGAAAATTTCATCGAAAAACAAGGTTATAGAGAAAAACTGATACATGAAAGATGTTGACTCAATTTTTTATGCTGATTCAAAATATAATATTTGTTTCAAGTCAAATAAAGATTGTTCAGTCTGAAAATTATCGAATATCAATTATTAAACAAAGTCACAAATTGAATCTTAGAAATAATAGATTTAGCATTTTGTAGAGTAATCCATTTTTTTAAGATTTTTGAAAAGTTCTATCGAATGATACATAAGAGATATTGAATCAAAGCTGATTAAATAGAAAATTAAATATATAACTGTAATTTATGTACGATACATTTGAAATATAAGGAAACAGTTTAAAAATTGGAGAATCTTGAAAAACCTAAACTTTGGACTTGGCACGCTCTCGATCTTTTTTTTAAGAACATTAAAAATTTCCCCGAAAAAAATTACAGCAAAAACCGAGAAATAATTTCAAGCAATTTTTAACGTTTCAATCTACTTTTTATTTAGCTTAAAAAAAGCCTAGATCCTTCTAACTAAAAAATCAGTTCATAATATTGAAAATTTGTGTTCTGCACTTTCAAACATTCATGACAAATATCTTGGTTCAATTCGACAAAATGAAATAAGAATCATAATAATTAATCAGATTAATAATACGATACAAAATTGAAATGAAAGCATTTACTACAAGTCGTTGTCATGGAGAAATTCTTAGTGCTTAAAAAATAAATAAATTGGTTTAACTCATATCATATCTTTAATTGTAGGCGATATTAAAGTCTATCATTTCATAGAACTGATTTGAAATTGATTTTCTCGTCAAAAAAAAAGCAAATAAAAATACAAAAAATTAAAATTATTAGTACATGTTATTAATATTAACGCCATCTTCATTCTTTACAAAAAAAAAGCATACTACCCTTCTCAATGATGTCCTATCTCGATAAAAAAAATATAATTTCTTATAGTTAAAATAAACATATTATTCATTCTCACAATTGCTTGATTAAATATATATAATTGAAATTGTTTTCATAATTAATACAGATATAGCGAAAAATTTTCTATATAGATGTCATTAGTGAAGGAAAAGGTATATTTATTAATAAAGTCGGAAGAAGAGAATAGTGTATTTTTGTTTTTGTAGATGCATATATAGTGACACGGTTTTTTCCAATTGTGTTATAGTTGAATTTTTTCTTATTTAGAAAATATCTTACATTTTTTTAATATCATAATGCAACTACTAATAAAAAATTTACATAATGAATCGTTTACTATTGAATGCAAGCAAGATGATACAGTAAATTTTTAAAGAAAAATTTTCATATAATTATATTTCATTATTGTTGTTTTTTGTTTTTTAATTATTACAGGTTAGAGCTGTAAAAGAAACAATAGCTGCGAGAGATGACTTAAGAGAAAAATATGATCCTGATCTACTTAAATTATTATGTAAAGGAAAAGTTATGGATGATGAAGATACAATTGAGTCTTACGAAATAAAAGCTGACAATTATCTTGTTCTTGTTAAACAAACACCTGGCAAACCGAAACCACCAGTATATATAAATTTTGTTTTTATTATCAAATTATGTCGTATTTTATTTTATTATTTTTTATAGCCAAAAAAGAAACCTAATCAAGGAATCAATCAATTTGGGTTTGTTTTTTCCTTGTTTTAATATAGAAATTTTATTTTAATAGAATTTATTTTTAGTGGATTTAATTCACAATTTGGAATGGGACCAATGTCAAATTCGTTATTGCAAAGTCCTTTTGGCCAAGATCCATTTATGCAACAATCATTTCAACCAAATTCATTTATGCAAAAACCATTTCAAGCACAGGGCTTTGGTCAAAATCCATATCCACAACATAATTTTCCAGCACAAACACAATATCCATCCCAAACAGAGTTTCCAGTACCTCAACCAACTAACAACTACACAAATTCATCATCAAATAATTTTCCATCAGCTAGTGAACGTGAAGAGGCTTTACAAACCTTGTTAGGAATGGGTTTTGAACGTACACTAGCTGAAAAAGCATTACGTGCTAGTGCTTATACTCCAGAACTTGCTATAGAATTCATAACATCAGTATTAAACAAATGAAATTTTTAATGATTGTTTTAATTAAATTTATGTATTTTTCTTTCTAGGGTAATATTCCTGAAACAGACGAAATACCTGATCTTCCACCAGTAGTACCTACATCAGAACGACCATCAGAGCTTCCAACTATACAACCATTTCAACCATCCGCCGCTACTAATTTGCATCAAGGCACTAGAGGTTATTAGTTTATGTATTTTTCTTTTATTAATCAGCACATCAGTCAGAGTATGATCACTAAATCATCGAAATTTATTCTTTTTACAGAAAATTCGTCTATAAATTATGAGGAAAGAATTGATTACAACAAAAAAAAAAAGATGAAACCCATTGTCTTTTATCTAATAATTATCTTTGATTTAATCATTACGTAAAATAATTTTATTTTATAATAATTTCTAATTTTAGTTTACATTAAGAAAACAAAGTGCATATCTATTTTTCTTTATTAGAAAGAGTATTCATACTATAAGGTATACACCAATGACTTCTTTTGTAACGAGATCATTTTAAATTAATTAAAGTATTAAATACTAGGAGAAAGCAATCTATTCTTCGACTACAAGGAATATCATCTACGAACTACGTTAAAATCGAAGATAAATAAATATCAATAAAAATACTATTCAACTCGTATAAGTTTAAAGCGAACTCTATTACTTTCGAGATATAACTAAATTTCATTTTAAGTTGAATATAATTTAATATATCAGTTATTCTTGTTGTAAGTATGTTGACAGTATATTCACATGAAGATTAGTAGCTTGGCCAAGAATGAACTAGACTTGATAGCATTGACTGTATCCTACCACTTTGAGTCTCTGAATTACGCACATCTACGCTCGTTGATTGAACTTGCAAACATTCTATTCCCACAGATGGGAACAGCGGGATTCTATAGAATCTTGGAGCCTATAATTTGAAAGCCCTTAGATTGTACTACTATTATAGGAAAATCTGTTATCACTCATGAACAATGAATGCAACATATTTCATAACCTTCTAATATACACTTGCTAATTTTTAAATCTTGAAGGTATCAAAATATTGTTGTAGGCATTTGTTTTTTCTTTATTCACATAGATGACACTTATTGGTAGATTCATGAAATTTTCATAGATAGTCATATGGATTGTAGGAAATTGAAAGTTGAAGTTTTTACTATATAAAATGCTCAACTACGCATTCTCTTTTATTATGTACGACATATTCATGTGTATTTTGGATTTTAGATCCCGGTATGAATCTTCAACAAATAGGTCAAATGCTCGAACAAAACCCTCAACAGCTTCAAGTAATTAAAAATGCATTAAAGGCTGAACATCCAGACATGGCCAAAGTAAAAAAAAAAATATATCTTCTTTTTTTTTTTCTTTCATAAATATAATTTTATTTGTTTTCTTTTTTAACAAGATGATCGACGAAAATCCACAAGGGTTTATTGATCTACTTCGACAAGCAGGAGGAGGTAATGATAATGCACCATCATTTGCTGGTAGTGGTGCTGGTCAAGGCCAAGGCACAATAAAAGTTGAACTCACATCTCAAGAACAACAAGCTGTCAATCGAGTATGTATTTATTTTACTTGAATTGTGAAGAACGATATTGATAAAGGATCGAATCTAAGTGAAAGCACGGCCGGTGATGATGAATCGTTCACCTTTATCTGAAAAACTATGACGATCTGAACTAAACATGCACTACCATCTGAGGCCATCTTTAGATCAAATACATTATTTTCTCTGTTCAAATAAAAATAAAAAATCTCAATTTGATGTTTTTTTTTTTAAATTTATTAGATACAAGATATGGGTTTTGATCGAAATCGTGTTCTTGAAGCATTTCTTGCTTGTGATCGTAATGAAGAAATGGCAGTTAATTATTTATTACATGCTTATGATTAAAAAGAACAACTCAAACATATAATTTATGTACGATATTATTCCATCACTTTTAGTTTGTGATATTCAAAACAAAAAAATTCCGAAGAACGAATTTTTTAATTTTTATTTTTTTGTAACTTTAAAAAAAAAAATTATACTTGTTGTGTACTTTTATCTTTTCTTTTCAAAGTGTTTCGCTTACTTAATTAGTGTTTCCGGTGCTGTGTCGTAAATAATTCTTTCACTTATTATATATATGTTATAATAAACACGAAAAAAAGAATAAAATTTTACACATATATAAATATGCAAATTTCACAGATTGATATGACTTATTTTGCACCGAAATCAGAAGAAGAATATAAAGTATATTTGGATAATTTACTTGTCGAATATCAATTCGCTTGTTTTAGTGAAAAACTTGGTGATGGTATGTTTAGAATAATTCATTGTTAAAATTTTTATTTTGTAAATTTTTTTTATGATTAAGGTTGTTATCGATTGGGAAATTATCATGAAATAATAAAAAATGATCATGCAACAGCAGGAAAAATATATAAAATGTCTTGTGATGAAATGAATTATGGACATGGATGTTATCGTTATGGTACATTTGCATTTCTTGGTCGAGGTTAATGAGAAATAAAATTTAATCTTAAAAAAAAAGAAATTTGAATTCTTATTTTTTCTTATTTTTTGTTTTATTAGGCATGGAAAAGGATATTCCACTTTCAACAAAATATTTTGAACGTGGATGTGATTTAGGATTTTTTAAAGCTTGTCATAATGCTGGTATTGCTTATATGGAAGGTGAAGGTTGTGAAAAAAATGTTAATCGAGCTATAGATTATTATAAAAAAGCTTGTTCAGGATCAATTGGTGAATCATGTTTAAATCTTTGGTCTATTTATTTCAATGGACATCATGGTGATATTGTTAAAGATGGACCAACAGCACTTGATTATGCATCAAAAGCATGTGATTTAGATATGTTTCAAGGTTGTGTTAATGCAGCAATTATGTGTCGACGTGGTGATGGTGTACCAAAAGATACTGAACGTGAAAAATATTTTAAACAAAAAGCAGCAGATTTAAAAAAGAGATATAGTGAACCGGGCGTTGTTTTTGGTGAAACACATAAAAATTTAGATTAAAGTTTTCATTTTAGTATTGTCAGAATGTAATAGGATTTTTTTATATGAAATAAAAAAGAAAACCACATGAGAGTATTAATGAGAGCATAAATAATGAAGTAATTAGAAAGATACAGGCGAGTTTTGCGGCTGCTAGAGTTAAGAAAGGTATGCGCTCTTTTGGTAAGAATCGATCAGTGAAAACAAAAACAATAAAATTCAGGAACTCGGCTGAAGAAAAACGAAAATTTCTTCAGATTGAAGGAGATCATCCTTCTGGAACGATATACCTTAAATTGTTTACTGAATAAAGCATTATGTTGATAATACTTTTTATAAAAATAAATGCACCACAAGAAGCTTTACATATAACAAGTACTCTTCCTCACATTATATCTTACATTTATACATTGAATTTATTCCTTCATATGAGCTATGATTTCTCTGAAATACCATTAGCTTATTGCTGTCAGGATACTGCACTTGTAACGCATTTTTTAAATGAATGCCCTAGTAACAGAAAAATTGATTTTCGAATTTCGACTAAAAAATTTCTATAGAGACAAGCCTCAACGAGAATGCTTTTTTCTCCGATGTTCAGATATGATCGCTGTTCGTATCATAGGTCTCAATGTGAGAGGCAATGGGATGAGCTAGTTCCTCCCAATTTTCACGTCACGTCGGCGAAAATTTCAAGTTGTCACCGAAAAACTATCTACAAAATTTTAGAATTCCGATCTTCTCAGTCCTTACCAGTCCAATGGTTAGTTTCTTCGATTTTCAAAAGGTATCAAGAATTTTGGTTCGTATTATTAAGATCCGCCTCTGTGCGAAGTTTCAGGTTCAAATTCGAAAATCAGTTTCTCTGAAGCACAGCACTCATATTTTGAAAAATACTCTAAAAATTCAATATCTCAGCAGCAATAAGCTAAGAGCACGAACTATTTTCAGATCGTTAATAACTCACCTGGATATGCATAATGTGAATAGTCTTGGCTCGAAATCTATCTATCATTTGAACATTTCTCTAGTTAAAGAAATAAGGTTTTTACAATAACCTGCATATATTGAAGTACTGCTTATGAATGTAAAACAGAACAGAACTTCGAATGGGCTAGGCTAGGACGAAGAAAGTCAGTCCATGGATCATCAACCTTTAGTCCAGTCCAGCTTATGGATTGCTTCTATCCTTTTATTTTATAAATTAAATCACAGTTTATTTCATATAATTAATGATATCTAACAACTTAATATATAAGTGACACAAAAAACAGAAGGGTGTCGGTTTGCGTGCTTTTTCTTCTTGTGTCTGCAACCACATCCGCATCCTTATCAGTAGTAGTTAGCAAGCAGACGGTAAAAGTAATCGATGATTGAAAAGAGTTAATGGAAATAGAATTAGAATTAGAAAAAGTAATAGATAATGATGCATTTGTTGTTGAAAGAGAACTATGAGACAACGATATTTGAAGAATGCGAACGAACTATTTCAGTATGAATAAACTATGTAATACATTTTTCTTTGTTTGATTTTCTTTATTCACTCGGTGTTCTTTGCAGGAAACTTTGATTTAATGAAACAATGCGATAACATTTTTCCTAAAAAAATATGTTACTAAGAAAACATGCGATATCTATTGAAAATTTTCTGTTATAATCAAGGATCAGTCCAGTACAACTCATTCGAAGCTCTGAAAACGAAAAGAAATTAATTTTGGTTAAAAGTAATTCATTCAAGCTACAAACATGATTACAATACATTTATCTAAATAGTAGTTTTTTTATTATTTTTTCACAACATTATCCTGTCGATCTAATAAAAACAAATAGTCTATCTGAGAATATTTGTTTTTATAATGTAAAAGATAAAAGATTATGTTTTTTGCTAACTTCTCTATTCCGTCTATGAAAACATCCAATCAAATGATTTACTCAAGTTCACTTGAAAGACTTTTCTTATGAATGTCTATGATCATTTTTTTTTCGCCTATATTAAAATATTGTTTACCAATATCAAATGATAATTCAAATCTTTGTAGAGTATCTCTTCTCATGTGATTGCTGAAATCAAATATTATCTCTTTGATATGCTTCAAAAATAATAAGATAAATTCATTAATATATTTTTTTTAAATTTTTTATACTTTATTTGTATGATTTTAAATAATAGAAATAAGAAAAAAAAAGAAAGAACAAACTAGTTATAGAGACATAAAATGATAAATTTTAAGAGAGAAGAAGAAAAAAAAAAGAAGAAAAGAGAAGTATGAGTTGTGCATGCTCTATATTAAAAAGAAAAAGAAGATAGATTTTTTTTTGTTTTGATTTAATGGTATAAAGAAGAAGAAATAAAAGCAAGTTTTGTTCTGTTGCCACCGCTGCGCACATACAAATTCACACAAAGGTGATATGGGTTTAATAGACAAAAAGAAAAGAAGAACGTCTTAAAGAAAGAAAAAAGATGCTTTTTGCTGCTGCTGTTGTTGCTGTTACCACAATCAATAATAATAGAATTAATTGATATTTTTAATAACCCGACAATTCGTTCAATGTCATGTCGAGTTCTTCGCTTACGCTCTTGTACTTCTCCTTTTCGGCAAGTAATTCGTCTAGAAAAAAAAGAAAAAGTAAATTATATAAAAATTTCTAATAACCAAAAAAAAACAAGAAATTATTCATTTTATGTTCCAGATGTTTTACTCTGTATATTGTCTGAGAAACAGACACATATGCAAAGTATCAATATGCTTGATATTTATTATAAATCTCTCATGCAAAAGAGACAACCAATTGTTTATTAAATTATTACCTTCGAGACGATCGACTTCCTTTTGCAATTTAGCCATGGTACGTTCAGCTAAATCGGCACGTTGTTCAGCCTATAATCGTATGATTAGAATATATTTGTTGGATTCTAATAGAAAGAAAAACCTTACATCTTTAAGACGTGTAGATAAATCACGAATTTGTTCTTCATAACTTTCTTCACGTTGCATGGCCTAGATATAAATACATAAGTCAAACAAATCATCATATATCTAGAAAAAATTTACCTCTTGTTCTGATACTTCAAGTGATTTCATATTGTTGCCAACAACTTTGAGTTCTTCTTCGAGTTCAAGAATTTTTCTAAAAAAAAATAAAAAAACAAATATTTTCATCGAACATAATAATAATTTATAAAAAAACAAAAAAAAAATAAAAATAAAAGAACAAAAATTAAATCATGCATACGTTTTCAGATCATTGTATGTAATCTTAAATTTAGTTTCATATCATTCATATACTATCTGAAATAAAATAATCATGCAGGAAATAGATATCAACCGAAAAAAAGGAAAAACCAATTCACCGTGCATAAAAATAATAAAAACAAACAATGTATCTTACGCTTCGGCAGCTTCAGCACGATCTTCAGCACGTTCCAAATCGACTTCCATAATAGCAATACGACGTGCGACCTAAGATCATGATTTCAAAAATAAATTTTTTTTTTGTTTTGTTTTGTTTATTGATCATTTCATCAAATTTACCTCATCGTATTTTCGATCGGAATCTTCAGCAATAAGTTGTGCTTCAGCCAATTGTTGTTCAAGTGTAGCAATACGTTCATCATCTTGATATGTACGTTGTTCGAGACCTTTGCGACTACTGTAAATTAGAAATAAAAATCAAATTTATTATCTTATATTTTAATATAAAACAAATAATTTGTTTATTACCGTTCACTTTCATCAGCTGCATGTGAAGCTTCATCAAGTTTTTGTGTTGTTTGTGTAAGACGTTCTTCAGCACGTTCAAGATCTTCCTCAACTAATTGTAAACGACGTTGAAGTCCATTTAATTCAGCTTCAGCCTATTATTACAAATTATATAATATTAATATAACAAAATTATTTGAAAATGAGCAAAAAGAAAACTAATGATACTATATGACTTTATATTCTATTAATAAGAGAATTATCTAAATGTTCTTTCTATTGTTAACGATTTAAAGTTCGTTCGATACTATTTATAGATATATATATATATATATTAATAAATTATTTTTAGACCAATGTTTAGTAGATAGACACACCTACACACAAACAATGATTCATCATGTCTAATGTTTTCGACGTTTACTTATTTATAAATGTTTACCTCTTTTAATACATTAATAATATCTGTAACTTCAGTTTGCATAATGGAAATTTTTAAATTGAATGTTATTTGAGATGAATATGGTGATACTTGATATATTTCACAACCGGGTTTAATTGGACGACGAGAAGATTTTACTGATGAAGAAGAATTAGATGATGATGATGATGTCGAAGAAATAGAACAAGACATTTCATTATCATCTGATGATAAATGAAATGTATCATCATCATCATCATTTAAACGATAATCACGTAAACGTTCATTATCATAAAATTTCTGACGAATTTGTTTAATACGTTCATTATGTAAAATATTGGATATAACATAATTTGATCGTTGTACTGGTTGTTGATATGCATAAAAACGAGATTTTGATGTTGATGAACGATTTGTTTTATTTTTATTTGTTTTTATTGTTGTTGTTTGGGATGATGGTGTTGGTGTTGGTAGTGGTAGTGGTGATAATTGGGGATGACGATTTTTAAATAAATTATAAAATTCAATTGCATTTATTTGGCCTTTAGCCAATAGTATACTTAGATTATCTTGTGTCATGATTAATATTATTTTTTTAGAAAAATCTTCGTTCTTCTATATGTATTGATGTTCTTTTTTGGATATACATAGTTAGATGTGTCTGTCTATGAATAGATATGCGCGTATATTTTCTGAGGGGGGAAAAAGAAGGAAAAAGGAACAGGAATAATACTCTCGACAAACGACTGTTCGGATAATCAGAGAAGAAAATAAGAGAGAAAAACATAGATAGATAGATAGATAGAGATAGATAGATTTAGTGCTTATATGTGCAGAGTTGATGATAGATATTGTGAGGCGAACGTAAAAAGAGGAAAAAAAGAAACGGAAGAAAAGAAAAAATAAATAAATAAATGAGACTTACATCAGTAGCAGCTTTCTCTTTGGCTTCAAGTTTTGCGTTGGCTTCAGCTAATTGTTCTTGAGCAGCATCAAGTTCAGATTCGATCTGTTGGATTTTTTTTTGTAAACCATTACTTTCTTCTTCAGACTAATAATGATAAAGAAAAAAGAATTAAAAAAACGAAAATAAAAGAAAAAAAATTAAAAATTTCAATCGAAAAGAAATAAGAATAATAATAAAACTTACTGCTTTAAGTTTTTCTTCAAAATCCTTTTGACGTTGTTCAGCTTGTTCGGCACGATCGACAGCATTTTCTTTTTCAAGTTTCATAGCTTGCATCTTCTTTTTGATGGAATCCATCGTAGCTGTTGTATTTGTATTTGAAGACATTTTTGACCGGTGTGGCTTTTAAAAATTTAAATGAATGAATTGAAAGAAAACAACTGTAGTTCGACGGTGAACTTAGATAATTACACTTCCAACAGATCTTGAAATAAAAAAAATAAATATATAATGCAATAAAAAAAAACTAAGTATATATAAAATAGTTTTCAGTAAAGACTACTGAATAGTAATCTTTGGATAAAAAGAGAAGAACGATATTATTCTACTGCATATAAGGAAACGTTTGTGTCCAATACATATACAGAACTTAGAAGAGAAAAAAGACGACACACGATTCCTGATGCCTACGCTACAGATAATAACAACAACAACAACAAACTCGCTAGAGATGTAGTATACAGAAGTACTCTCTTTTCTTTCTCGGGCGCCTTTACATACTGCTATTCGTGTGTATGTAGGCAGCAGTGGTAGGCACTGACAATGAAGAGAAAAATTGCGGTTTATTAGTTACGTAGATATATATATATATATATATTTGGATGCGTATGAGTATGGAGTAACAGATAGATTTAGCTTCTTTTGCGTTCTCTAGATGTTTACTTGTCATCAGTAGAACAACCATTGATGGCTATATACTTAGTTGTACGATACCATTTTTCTTCGTCGAGCTATATTTTTGCTTCTTTCTCTTTTCTGCTTTGTATTGTACAAATGGGCGGCTGTTATATAGAGACGGAGAGAATCTAAAAATATTTACGCAGAGCAGTACAACGACAGCCGTGCTGGCAACGTGTTACTTAACGATGCTAACATTTTCTCGATTTATACACTGCATTTGTTGGATAAGATCGAAAAAACGTATTAGTACTAGAAAGGATACGATCTAAGAAAGAAGAGAAAGCGAGAAAAAAAAATCTTCTATACATACTGTTATCATTTGCTGTTAAGAAGAGGAAAAAATGATTGAGTCTTGTCTTAACTATATACGTGTCCACATATTGATATACAGAAAAAAAAATCTTCTTTGTCGAGAATAGCATGACATTATCATCGAAATAGAAAAAAAAAAAAAAACGTACTTATATCTCTTCAATTGCGGAACAAGCAAATATACAAAAACAAAAAAAGTGTAATAAACATCTGGTAATAGAACACACCAAAATAGAAAAAAAAGCAAAAAGACACCGAGTCTATCTTTATTTCTATCGATGATTATTTGAATTATAATAAACATTTGAATTATTTTGTGTACCATAAAATGATGATAATTGTTCTGTATAACCTGGAAATTGTATAGACGATGGTGTCATATGGAAAGAATCATGAACAGGTTGTTGTTGTTGTTGTTGTTGTCGTAAGGGTGGAGGTGGTGGAGGAATCCAAGATGATGTTGAAGCAAATGAATAATCATGATGATAATGTTGTGAATATATATTTGATGTTGTTGATGATAAATGATCATAATCAAATGAAGATGATGTTTCTCCTTCACCTGAACTACTATTTGTTGAACTTGAAGCAATTATTAATTTAGTTGGAGATAATTTTGAACGTGTTTTAAAACGAGTTGGTCGACGTAAAAAACTTGTACCATTACCAAACATATTTTTAGCATTTTCATGTAATGTCCAATAACTACCTTTACTTTTATTTCCTGTTAATAAGCAATTATCAGATGATGTTCGAGGAACTCGAACAAAACAATCATTTAATGATAGATTATGTCGTATAGAATTTTTCCAACGTTGTGCTGTTTGTTCATTATAAAATGGATAACGTTCTTGAACAAAATTATAGATTTCTAATGAAAAAATAAAAATAAATTAGAAAAAAAAAAAACAAACTAAAATAAAAAGTAATTTTATTATTTACCATTAAGAGTCATTTTACCATCTTGTGAACTTTCAATAGCTAATGTTATGAGAGCAATATATGAAACTAAATAAATCATTTAACTATATATAATATATATCATTTTTTTGGTTCTTACATGGTGGTTTAACATCAGCACCAAATCGTCGACCTTGTTGGGATAGTGTTGATGTACCTAATTAGATATTATAAAAATAATAAATAAAAACAAAGAACTAGAAATTTATTTTTTACCTGATAATTTTGTTATATCAATATCATCTGTTTCAGTAACTGAACCTCTCATAATAGCTTCTTTTGCTTCTTTTTCTGTAATTTGTGTTTTTGTTTTTGATAGACTTGTTTTTGCTCGATGATGTTGTTGTTTGAATTTTCCATGACTTTTTTTTGGTGTTTTTTCTGAATGAAATTCTGGTAATGAATAAGATAAATAATTTGGTGAACTAGAACTTAGTTCTGGTATTATACGATTATGTTCATGCAAAGGACCATGAGAAAGATAATAATCATCATTCATTGTAAGATTCTTGATGAAAACGAATAATGAATATTGAACAAATTTAGTTTGAAAGAGAAAATATATGATTCTTTAAATCAATATTGACTGGCAACGATATATATATATATATACATATAGGCTCTATTTTTTTCTTTTTCTATCAAATAGCCAATGACCTACAATTGAAAAATTGTCACAAACTATCTGGATTGGCTACCTGCGAAAAAAAAAGTGACATAATTTTTTTTTTCTTCTTGCATGAAATCAGCAATCAAAAATTTTTCGTATACTAATTTAAGAAAATGTTCGTTATCAAAGGCAAAGATAATAAATCGTCATGTAGTAATCATATTAAAATAATTGTGTTTATAATTATTTTTCTTATATTTTTCAATCGATTATTGTTATCGGTAGAGTTGTTCCGAGAGCACAAAGTGTGGTGAGTTCCCTACTCGGAACACCGTGATTATTAGTTTTTCTATATGATTCTTTGTTTGGTTTTCAAAAAAATACTATATATTTAATTGCTGCTAAACGAAATGCAAGTTCATAGGAAACTTTAATAAATTTTCAAGGGCGTAATTTATGGGGTGTGTGACAGCCCTCCTACTTACTTTGTACAGGTCTCCCTTTTCTGAGATTCAACCGCTGTATCTTTAGTGTTGAATTGCATCTTTGTAAAGTTCTAATTTTTTTCAGAAAAACACAGATGCATATTAAGATATGTTGATCTTGATAAATAAATCTCGTTTTCTGGATCATAATTTGATCTATAAAATAAATCGGCTTGTTTCTTTCTCGTGTTTGATAGTATTTCATTTGACTGATCACTCTGATTTGATCCCTCTTGTTTCGTTTTACACATAACAATCCACACTTTTTCTTCTACTGTCCGTTGACCGACAACAAATGATTGTAATTTAATTTCAAACGATTCGGCAAAGTCAAGTTCGACTTTTTTTTGAATGAGCAAAATGAACAAGAATATAATACAAAAATTATCGGTCGGCTTATTTCGGTTAAGAGAGTCGAGAGAGTAATGGTGGTAGAAAAATGGTCCTCATTTTTAAGTCTATAAATGGGTGAGCACTTTTCTCTTTCCCTCTCTTATTCACATAGACTAATCCTTATTACGTCTTTGATGTAATAGATGTGGTGTAAGTTGGTAGTGAGACAAAATTGCTTTCCTCACTTTTAAAAATATTGAAAGAAGAAAAATGGCTAGCACGACGTCTAATTGCTGTATGTTTTCTGATAGAAGTGTTAGAAACATATTCGAATACATTCTCCTCCTATTGTTATGAATAAAATATTGTCTCTCTAGAGGAAAAAAAATCAGAAATAACAAACAAACAATTCGATCAGGTGATGAAAGTTGCAAACAAATAATAGATCAGTTTTTTTTTATTTAAGCATGTGATTAAACGATAGTTTTATTAATTAAAAATCAAAATTTTATAATTAGCTAATCATTTATTTTTATTTCAAATTTTATAAAACGAGATGTATTGCATTTCTCTTACATACTTTCTTCTCCTATTCATTCTTTTTTCTTATATAGACATCCATCATAAGCCGAAATGTTTATGTAGCATCTTTCTTACAGTTATGCATTTCGATCCAAAAATGATCCATCTCTCACCTCACTCTTCTTTTCTCACTTGTACTTTATACACATTAATGTCGGGTGTCTAATTTATATATGTTATACATAGAAAACAATAGAAAGCAATGATGATGATTCCTTCTTTAAACATGTTGCACTGTATTGTAGACATAAGTTAGAAGAAGTCGAATTGGCAACCGTTATTGTCTGTATATAGAAAAAAAAACGAATGATGATATTCTTTTAACAATCTTATAGTTTTAGAAAAACAATTCTTCTCTTTATTGCATACGTTTTGTGTATTACGTAATTGTGAATTCTAGCAAAAATAGTTATCGTGTTCTACTTATGAAAATTTCACTCAAGAGAATATCTCTGATGCTCATGAGTACATTTAGATCGTCTTTTATATTCTGTTTTGATATATATATAATGTACCAATATGTCTCTAATGGATTCAATATTGTTTTATTGCATCTATAAAACTAATACCAAACAAAGTTATACGGAGTCAGAGTTTAACGAATAAAAAGAAAGTTGAAGACAGTATCAAGCAAGAGTTGAAGCAGAGCTGTCTTTTTTGATTGAAAATTTTTAGATTGATCATTTTTGCTGTTCTATACATGCTTTGAAATAATCTTTACTTATTGGACATACTTCAAGAATTAATATATAACTATAGAAGTCAGAAAAGATGGTATATTGTTACTGAAAAACATCAAAATATAGACACTATCTCGTTGATTTTTAAAGAATGAGTTTTCCCGATAAAAAAATTAAGAATCATGTCTGCTTCCCAAACGCAGTGCATCCAATCTAGCGGAAACTTTCTTCTAATTATACTAAAAAGTGTTTCAGATGCTTACTATTTTTATTTCAAGACATAATGTACTGCTGGTTCTTGCTAGGGCTTACAAAAAATAAAGTTCTAGTTAAAAAAACATGAATTTTTTGTAGTATGTTAAGTATTTTGATCTTTTTATTGAGATAGAAAGAATTAAAAAGAAACCAAATAAAGTAGATACTATCTACTGTCTTTAACAAAGTTCAACTCCATCAGACACATTGCAATCGAGAAGGCAGGGCATAGCTTTTAGCTTTTGCAATTCTAATATCTATTAGAAGGAAGCTCTTGAAAAGTACCTGAAGAGGAACAAGAATCCTCTTTAAATAAACCAATTAAATTTGTATAGTTTCATCACAATAACTTTAAAAAAACAATCTGTCAATAGATAATTATCGTTTTAAGTTAATAAATTTTTACAGGTTTAAAAATACAAATGAAAATATGAATTCGTAAGATTTGATTTTTAATTTTACTTGACAAGTAAACAAACTTGAAAATGAAATAATGTTACTTTTTAAACTTGTCATCTAATGCATTATGAATATTTCATTAAAAGTAAATGGATAAAGAAAAAGAAAACAACATCATTCAATGAAACTTATTACATCATTCTTATTTGTCTTGTACATAGTATCGCTTAAGATTTTATTAATATTTTATGAAATATAGGTGTCCGCAAAATACAATTATTATGCGAAAAAACATATATTCAATGATGGTTTAATTCAATATTACAATATAGATTATAATAAAAATAATTATGAATTTTTCGAAATAGATCTGTTTAAATCTAGACTTATTAATATCATATCAGAGAAAAGAACACATTTGTTAATCTTTTTTTGTTTATTTGAGCTTTTAAGAAAAGAAATTTAAGAGACTTTTTATTCTTATTTATTGAGAAAACGATATTAAAAATGATTTATTATGATAAATCTCAACAACAAAGTGTAATTTCAAGAGGCTATCTAATTTTTAATAATATTATTTCAAATATGATTGATATGAAAATTTTCGATTTTATATATATATTTGGATATTCGAATAATTTTGTAATGTTATTTTTGCTACATGTATTATTATTAAAATTTATTTCTTCATATCTAAAAATTGATATACAGCCAACTAAAATTATTGTTTCTATATATGTGCAATTTCAATTTACTTACCACCAACTTAGTGTACTCAATACACATTGAGTACACGTGCATTAGTGTTTGATGAAGCACTGTAACATACCGCTCCATAAAAAGGGCATATTGTAATATAGTTGATGTCACGTTGTTGTAACGAATGCAAATGTCAGTATAAACTGTACTTCAGTGGATTGTATATCGGTGACTCACTGTCATTATTTCATTATTCACATCAATATTGTACATCTCTATTTCTTCCAACATGACTTTGTATCTAATTCATGTGGTAATATCATGAAAATAATCTTCAGTACTCGAATTTCTATTAAATATACTACATTCTTTGTATGTATTTAAAAACACAGTTACTTGCAAAAGTAACAATTTATATCGATATGTCTATTTTAGATAAAAATCAAGTTTTAGATTGATGTCAAGCTTTTTAATAATACAGACATGAAATTATCGACTAATTTTGTTTCTACAGAAGTTAAAATGCGATAATGCATAGAAATTGTTTAAGATAGAAAGAAAAAGATGAAGAAGAAATAAAAAGCACACAAATCACAGTAATGTGACAGAAGTTATTATCTTGATTCAATGTTATCGACATGAATGACATACATTGTCTGCACATCACATGAGTTACAAAGATAGATAAGAATATTGTTAGTTTTCATTTTGCAATAGAGTTTTATTCTAAAAATCTTGATTATTTTTAGATTAAACAAAGAAATATCTATATGATAGAGATAGTAAAAATCTATTGTTGTAAAAATACAAGATACATAATTGTGAAGATTAGTGAACATAAAACTAACTAGTCATATACGATAAGTCCTATTACTCAATAATACTGATGATGATAAGATAATCATTATTTGTCTGCCTATCGGATTATTGACAATAATAAAGAACAATAGTTTTCCTTCTCTCGTTATGATTGAATAAAGAATTGTTGAATTGTATAAATAATATTCACTGCTTCGACAAAAAAACGACACTTTTGACAGACTAGAGCCAGAATTTTTCCATATGTTCATCGTCTCTTATATATATTCTATCCTAATATGAACAGTGACAAATGTACAATTCTGTTTTTTTTCTTTCTTTATTATCGACTACAACAGAAAGACTTCATTGTATTTTGTTCTTCATATGTTTTACTTGCTTTTTTTTTGAATGTCTATCTATACTGTGTATAACCTCTTATACATATGTCCGCTTACTTCCTTGCTTGTTCGTTCGACAAGTAGCATCAGAAGTAGACAATAACAGAAGAAAAAGAGAGCGAGAGAAAAAAAAAGACGATGATGAAGAAGAGAGAGACAAAGAGTGTAGTACTTCTCTTCATATAAAACTATTCATTCAAGCACACATTTTTTTTTCTTCTCTATCATCATACTTTAACTTAAGTATTTCTTAGAATTCATTCAATTCACTCACTTTATAATATAAAACAATGCCAGATATAAAAATAAATGACGAACAACAACAAGAAATTATATATGGTGAATTAGTTATTCTCGGGTAAGTCAAAAATTTCTCCATGTTTAACAACAATAAATGATTGGGAATCTAATTTATTAGTTTCAATTGCTTGAATTAGTTTTTCTTTTGGTTCTAAATAATATTCATTAGCTAATGCCCATGTAGCCCAATGTATACCAATAGACTTTTTTGATTGTGTATCAAGATGAATTTGTACAGCTTCATCAGGTGATACATGTTGTGCTTCCATCATCCAACGAGGTTCATATGCACCTATTGGTATTGCACTTAAATCAAATGGACCATATTTCTTTCCAATTTGTTTAAATATAGGTATATCATGTGTATAACCCGTATCACCAGCAAAATAAAATTTATAATTATTATTCCATACAGCATATCCACCCCAAAGAGCTTTATTTAAATCAAAAAGAGTACGTCGTGACCTTAAACAAATAAGCATATGAAACATTTATAATGATAATAATAATAAGAAGAAAAATACGATACCAATGTTGAGCGGGACAAAATGCTATTTTAACATCTTTTTTGCTCTAAATTAGTAAAATATTTAAAAAAAAATAAAAACATACAAAATTAATTTCTATCAATTATCATACTGGATGTGTCCAATCATCCCACCAATCAAGTTCAATAACTTGTTCTATATGACAATCAAGAAACCATTGTCCTCCACCTTTACCACAAAACCATGTTAATCTATTTCCGTAACGTTTATTTAATTTTTGAACACTTGGATAATCCAAATGATCAAAATGATTATGTGATATAACTATAGCTTCAAGTTTATCAGGTAAATCATCTATTGTTAATGCTGGTGGACGAAAACGTTTTGGTCCTATTGTTGGTGTTACACCACATCGATCACTAAAAACAGGATCTGTTAGAAATATAAAATCATCAATTTGAACAAGACATGTTGCATGTCCAATCCATATAAAACGTAGACCAGGTGAAGTTTTTACTATTTCATCTGGTTTATTATTTATTACTGGTAATAATTTATTTAATTCTTCAATATCAGCTGGTACACTTGTATTATTTCGTGTACCAATCCAACGAAAAACTGTTAGATATCCTGGCAATTTAAATTTAGGATTAAATGAATTAACATAAATATTATGTTCTTGTCGTGATTTAATAAATTCATTATCAGACATTGTATTGTCTGTAGTAGTAGTTGATGATGTCGCCATAATTGTATTTGATTTAGTAGTGGATAGAAGATAATGTCTAAGGAAATGCATAGATTGAGAGAAAATTTCTTTAATAATATAAGTCATTTTATCAAAAATTGATCAGTAGAATTTGTTATTTTTATGTTTAGATAATATTAGAGAAAAAAAAGAAGATTTAACCTTGAACAGATTTCTATAAACTAACATAAGACATATTAACATATTTCTAAGGTTATAAACATAAGACATCCTTAGTAACATGGTCATTTTAAATAAATATATATATTGATACTTTTGTTATTTTATTTCTATGAATCCTCAACTTGAAAAGTACTTAACACACATAATCATCTTATTTATTTTTTGTTTTGAAAGATATAATGGGCAAATTCCAAATGGTGATCATGAAAGACGTAAAAGCAAATTTCAATTGAGACAACGATTACAAGCGAATGGGCTTAAAGCACAGCGACAACATATATGTAAAAATCTAGATGAAGTACAGGTAAAAAACAGAATCGAAGAAGAAAAAAAAATAAGTGAATTCTATTTTCCTGAATGATTCATAAGAAAATATTGGTATCATAGATTAACAAGAATATAATTCACTGAAGAATGCATACAGACAGGATGTTAATAAACAAAAAATATTAGATGAAGATGATTTTTTGCCTATGATGCAACTATCAATATGTGATCAATATATATAAAATAATTATGAGATGAATAACGATTGATTATATACATATTACGTATGAAATAATCATTGAACAAGCAATGAGCTTCAAGTAAATAATCATATGATTATTTACTTTAATGTTTTTATATCAATAATTGAAATAATGTTTAAATAACAGAACATGAATGTTATTATTTATTTTATGATTTTTAGAAATTAACACAAGCTGATTTTCATTCCATTTCATATACGTTATCACGAAATCAAACTGTTGTTGTTCAATATGCACATGATGAAGATTCTGATATGTTTCAAGTATATTTTTCTAGTTCTGTTTCTAATAAATAAATGTAAAAAAGATTATTTTCAGATTGGTCGATCATCGGAAAGTCAAATTGATTTTATCGTTACGGATACAGTGCCTGAAACGAAAATCATTGATGATATGAACGCTGTACAATCGACTATCTCACGCTATGCATGCCGTATTGTTGTATTACGACATCCACCATATACAGCTCGTATCTATGCTGCTGGTTTTGATAGTTCAAAAAATATTTTTCTTGGAGTATGAACTTCTATTGATACGTTTTTTTCTTACAATATTTCTACAATAGGAAAAATCAATAAAATGGAAAAATAATCGTAATGAAATGGATGGTGTTACAACAAATGGTATTTTATTAATGCATATTGATGGAGATCAATTTAATATAAATTCTAAGCCAACTAAATGGAAAGAAGTATCTGTTTGTGGAAGTGTATTTGATTTAGGTGAAGGACGACTTAAATTTAATTATCAAACAGCAGTAAGTGTCGAATTAGAAAAAAAATAAATGAATTGTAAAAAAAACAATATTATAATATTTGTTTAGTCTCCTTCTAATACAGATAATATTCTAAAAGACGGAACTCTGATTGATCTCTGTGGAGCAACACTACTATGGCGATCAGTGGAAGGTCTTAAAAATACACCTGTAACTATAATATGTTGTCTTATTAAAAAAACAAATACTTTTAATTTTCGATTAGACTCGTCGTTTTCTTGAATTTGAATTAGATGAATTGAATTCAAAAAAACCTCAATGTCCTGTTGGATTAAATACATTAGTTATAAAAACTTCAAATTTTTCATCAATATCATCAAATTTTTCAAATCCATATGTTTATGTTTCATGTGGACATGTTCATGGTAATCATCAATGGGGTGTCATCAATGATAATAATCATTTACGTGAATGTCCACTTTGTCGAACAGTTAGTTCATTAATACCAATTACACCTGGATTGGAATCATCATTTTATGTTATACCAAATAATGATAATGAAACAACAACATCACATGCACTGCATCCATGTGGACATATGACTTCACAGTCTACAGCTTTATATTGGTCAAAAATTAAAGTACCTTATGGTAAGAAAGAAAAGCAGTTCGAACAAAAGAAAATTAAGAAAATAGTTTTTTTTTATCGTATTTTTAGGAGCAAAAGGTTTAAAAGCAGTATGTCCATTTTGTTCAATGGCTTTATCAGATATAAAACCATATGTTCGTCTGATTTTTCAAGATTCTATTTACAGATAATGACACTAAACATAGATTCAAAACGAAAAAAAATTCCTATTTTTTTATATGAAATGTTGTTTTGTTTTTCGTTGCTACTTGTATTCTATTCATTATGACTGATTCAATACAACATGTATATGAAAAAAAAAATTGAAAGGTATGCAAAAAATTATTCTTACCCGATTATTGAAATGTTTGCGCAATGGAAATATTATTCGTTTTATCGAAATCTGAAAAAATTCATAATATAGAACAGTTTTTCAATTTACTTCGCACATATAAGAAAATAATCAAACAAACAGATACATAAATTTTATTTGACATGAATCATCGTTGCTTGCATCCAGTGACATCTTTTTTGTCAAATAAAGAAAAGCATAAAAAAGAAACTCTCATTCCATGAAATCAACTACATAAAAGTATAAAAAGAAGTATATTTTTTCGATATAATTCTTCTACTGTAGTGGTCTATATTTGAAATATAATTTGCGTATTGAACAAATAAAATTACGTTACAACTGATCATCATCAGAAATAGAATAATAATTTTTTTTTGACTCTGTTGTTTTTTTTTTTATTCTAAATGACCAATTCTCTGATATAAATTCTTATTCGTCGTAAACCTAACAAATATTATCGAATTCAAATTCTTACTGGCTATCAAATTGTCAATCTAATTAAACAAATAGCTGAGCATTTTTATTGAACAATAATTACATATATTATAATGAAGTAAATGGTTGTTCATTGTTTTATTGATTGCATCATGCACATTGTCATATATTAAATAACTATGGTTTTACTAATTAATGAAGAACTTGATATAAATTTATTAATACACGAGGAAGAAGAAGATAATGACAAAAAAACCAATCAATCATTGATCAATAGTTAATGAGATATTCAACTCCAGCTGTAAATTTTCATCTAGTTATTTGCTTTTAATAATGTCTTATTTTTCTATGTACTTGATGTGCACAGAGTTCAAGATATATCTATATTACATGATTTCCTGGGTCAAGAATTATATATGCACGTGAAAAAAAGAGTTCAACTAGAGTAGTGAATTAGATTTATTATCAAATAAATATTTCTGTAAATCTATTTTCTACAGGAATTGAATTTGATACAAAGAAAACTTATTGAGAAACTATGTTACGTAGAACAAATGCAGTTTATTACACATGGATTTGTAGAGGTAAAAGAAAATGAATTTGCGATTTTCTCTTATTTTTGTTCTTTCTTATTTTAGATAGTTCTCATGGGGTACAGGATTTGACTATAGGTAAAGGAGCAAAGGAATATGAATATCAAAATGTGTTATTAATACTGAATTTGATGAAAGAACTGCTAATGGCTAGAGAATTCGACGTTGTCGCTATGCAATTTTTCTTCTTGATAACAATTTACACTATGACATAAGTAAAAAATACGTTTTGATAAAAATTTTTCTTTATTGAAGTTTTTATTTATAGTTAATTTGGTGGTATATGATATTATAGAAATGAAAAAATTATTACCAATGAATAGTGAAAAGATGTTTTCATAAATTAAAGCTTTTGTTGATATTGAACAATCAAAAACAGCTTTTTTCGTGATTTTTCTGCGTTTTTTTTGCTTTCTGGAAATCTATTTTTTGGATTGTATATAAACATACAATATATATATATATATATAAATATTAAGATAGACATTAATCATTATTAGATAGTCTTATTATTATTTTTTCTTTTATTTTTTCAACGAATGATTAAATTTACTTCAATTCAGATTATATTTAAACAAGATAATCAAATTCGATAAAAATTTATAGAGGAACCAATGATATTGTAAGTATGTTTTAATACATTTTAAAAGACTTCTTTTTTTCTATTTTAAAATTAATTGAATATTCTTGAATCATTGTGTCAGGAATTTAATAAATATCTTTTGTAAATAAAACGTGACAATAATATAGTTGAAAAAAAAATGTCTCAAATGTTTATAATGAAATTATGATAAAAAAGAAAAGTCCTTGACTCTGAACAAAATAGATTATAAATGCGTGATAATATCTAATAGAACTCCGGAGGCAATATGATTGTGAATGTCAGGACTAGTAGTTTCCGAGATCGAAAAATATGTTTTTGACTTATTATAATTATTTAATGCAATGACATACGAATATTTTCAATCCTTTTTTACTTCAACTATAACTCTTAATGATGAGCATACATTTCAAATATGGAAGATACAAATTAATATGTGAGAATATAAGATAGGATGACGGTTAGTTATCTTTAAACGAATTATCTTATCATGTTACTTCATGGGAGAAAATTTTATGATATGATTCTGTCTTTAGAAAAGGTTATCGAGTTATTTATCGAATTTGATAAGTGTGTCATTTGATATAATCATATATTCTAGTTTAAATGAATCAATAAATTAAATATTTTATATTTAGAATATTTGCTTTGAGACATTTATTAGAAGATTTGAATTTTTAGTTTCATGATACCAAATAATCAGAGGTATATTGAAAATATTCCAATCAATTATCTATACGTAAATCATATATTGCAATACTAGGTATCCGTCGTTTTTTGTTTTAAAAACTAAATATAGCTACTTAACTAAAAACCCATATCCTCTAACAAATACTTGTATAATCTCGTGTGCCAATTGCGTAGTCTGTAACAGCTTCGATTTACTACAAAAAACTATTCTCAATCAAGTAAGTATAAGGCCACCGAGAAGAACGAACGAGATAAAATACTGAAGGACGGAAAAAAAAACTACATTGCCGATTAAGGACATTTCTATTTTCAGACTATATGCTCGTCATCTATTGACGGTTTGTATTAATATTCCTATATTAAAACTATTTCTATCATTTAACTTTTTAGAGTTTAATATAACATAAAATTCAAAGAATTTTTCTCAGGTTCCATGAAAGATCTTATAATCTTAATAAACCTTCTATACATTCAGAAAGATTTTTGTTTACATCAACCTATATAAAGAAAATATTTACACTAATGATTAACATAGTCTGCATGTGTCTTTTTTTATGTATTAAACGTTCATATAAATACTAGACTCAAGCAAAATATTCCCGCTAACAACATCATTTTATTTATCAGAATCAGAAATATTTTACATCAACAACAGAAAAAAACAATAGCATCTTTCATATATGAACTTTCTTTTTCTATTCTAAAATATCTTATCTTTTGAGAATTCAACAGAAATAAAAACTTGCTATCGTTGCTGAAGTTTTCAAAGAAAAATAATCAATTTTTTACTAAATTATTCAATATGATATATAATTATTTTAGTTCAAGTGATCTTCTTTCATCGACAAAACAATCTGAATGTTCATCTACATGTCGACATGTTCCTATGCCTTCTAAAGGTAAGTATATAAAAAGAAAAATTTTTTTTTCAGTTAGTTGCAATCTTATCTTATATACATATGAAGTTAGTTTGTTCTATATTATTGATTTTTCTTGTCCTATTTACCTACTTTTCATGGATTTGATAATGAAATTAGTTTTTTTTTTCTAACCTTATTTTTGTTAATGAGTACATCTCCAAAATATCGTCATTGCATGACATCAATGACGAACATAATTAATAGAGCGAAAAGAAAAATAAGATATACAAAACAAAACAATAGAAGAAATGACTACATAAAAATCGAAACGAATCAATTAATTATCTTTGTACTAATAAACACATGTGTGCGTATATCATTTTCTATCTATTTTTGTATTATAAAATAAATAACTGTTGATAATTATTCATACGACTATATAACCTAATATATTTTCAAGCTATGTTTTATCTTTCTTTCTGACACCAAATATCAAAACATAATGATAAAAATAAAATGAAAATAGACACAATGAGTATTGCTTGACAAATGGATATAAAGAAGTAAGAACAAAGAGTCTTATGATTACTTCCTACACAAAAATGATTACTAATTCTTTGTTCCTTCGCAAGCCGAAAGAAAGAAGGAAAAAACTATGCATCAATCGTATGATTAAATGTTAGTAGTCTCGTGAAAAACTATAGATTATTCTTATAAGATATTCTTTTTATCAATCCATGTTTTTCTTTCACGAGATGTTAATCTACATATCATCATGTGACATATATATACATGCCTTAATGTCAAGAAAATAACAAGAACGAGGTTATTTGGAAGTTTTATTTTCTTTTTAGTATATAAAAATATCGACGTATAATTGTGAAAAGAAAAAAAAACGAAGACGAACGAGAGAAAAACGAGAAGAAAAAACCGACAATCACTTTATTTCTAATTGATGCAACGTTATTGTTGCTGAGTGATTACGTGCATCGTCATAAAAAAATTTATCCAATATAACTCTGATTGTTCGTATATGAGAACAAAACATCTGTCAATTGTGTTTGCCCGCTTCTGTATCTTATAAATCAAAACTAAATAATGTCAAATCAACAAGAACCCATTGAAGAAAAGACAGAAGAAAACAATAATGTTTTTGACGAAGAACCTCAACAGGACATAATGACTTCCGAAGAACATACGGTTAAACATGATATACATGCATGGCGAAGAGATCGTTCATATACTTACCAACGTAATCCATTGTTGGTCAGACGTATGAGTCAAGGTGAGCAATAACAAAAAAAAAGAATTTATTATTGATGTCATTCATGTTGCTTGTATTCGTGTTGCTCAAGGTGTCGTAATTTGTTTGCGTAGTAATATGATTCCATTGTTTGTTAGTAACAGTTAAAGTATATTTAAGTAAATCGCAAAAAATAGAAAACAGATGACATTTTGTTATTAAAAAAAAACAACAAATAAATAATTTTTTAAAACTTTTTAGCATGTCGCGATCGATTAGTTCGAACACCAACTGTTATTGTATGTAGACATGTTTTTTTTTCCTTTATTACGTTTTACTCGTTTCATTCATGTTTTAGGCTATGTGTGGATTACCAGCACGAGGCAAAGTAAGACATTTTTAGAACAAAAACAAAAA